TTTGTAATGTTTTGACTTAGAAGAGAAACATGGCTCCCAAATTTTTAAATACTATCTGTGTTTACTAAGGTAGCCCACTTTATTCTTCAAGTTCAACCCATATTTTCAGTGAAGAGGGTCCAATTCAGAAAGAAGAGTGGGATTTCAGTCAGAGAAGAAGAAAACACCTGCTGTTAAGCCCGAGCGCGCAAGTGGGGGCCGGAACGTCCTAAGCAGCCACCACAGCTGTGAGTGAAGGTTGACCTTGCTTCGCTTCTGTCTTAAGCCGGCAGGTGCCAGGACGCCATGCTGTCTGCTCAGAAACACCCTCTTTTGAAGAAGCAATATTTATTGCTCCATTGTGAATGCAAATTTTCATGTGTTCGCGAATTAAGCATCCTTGCTCAGGGCAAGCCGGCTAAAGAACTCTGGTTCACACATGTGGCTTTGGCGTTAATAATTGGACTTTGACAAAAAAAGTCATCTCTCTTCCTCACTGTAAAATAATTTCAGAAAAACTTTGTCCTCAAAGATGTCATGTAACCTAACAAAGTGCCTTTAGAGGATTGGTACAATGAGAGACTGGCCTCTCAAATCTCACCAGCAAAAGCAAGCAAAACTTTAAAGAGGAGCAGCTTGGGAAGGGGTAGAGGCAGAGACTGGGGAGGGGTCTACAGTCATGACTGACCTTAAAGCAGCTGGATTTTCTGGCGGTCACTTTTTTCTTAATGCTGATATGTGGAAAGTGCTTGCCTTTGGCTCTATACTATTTAGCTTTGCCAGGACAGACACCATGTCTTTCTAAATCAGCCTTTTCCACCATATCCTCCACCAGTGCTCAGAACGTTGCCAAACTCTTTATGGGCATTCAACACAAATCAAAATAAAATTAAGTAACATGGTACTTAAATCAAGACTAGAACCACCATTGTATTTATTAAACTTGATGGTGGGTATCCTCTCATTATTCTTTTCTTTGGCTTTCATTTTCCCCACCAAAAATAAAATCCTACTTGTATAGCATTAGTAAGCATTTTGCATTTGTTAAAATAACTAAATAAATTCCTTAAACTTAATTTACCAGAGATAGGCACACAGACTGTACTCACTATTCACTACTTGAGTCACTGAAAAAAATTAGAAACATTAAAGGTTTACTGAAAACAGAAAAATAATTTTTTTATTGTCCCTCTTTTCAATGGTAAAATCATTTTTGGGGTAAGAGAGAAAAGAGTTTTGTAAAGTTGATTCCATTATCTTAGCCCCTCTCACACTCCCTACTCCTCTTCAATTCTCCTTTCTCTCGTGTTGAACCTGAGATCTTCACAGTGTCTATGACACTGTGGAAAATGTAAGGGAGGCATTTTAGAAGGCACTCGTTGAAGGTGTCAGATACGCAGGCATCATTCTCTCCGAGAATCTAGTTCTGGAGCTGTGTTCCCACACTTAGCATCAAAACCACTGCATTTAAATTCTCACAGACTGGGTTAAATCTTGGCTAACTCACTTACAGGAAGCCTAACATTGATAATCTTTGAGTTTCATTTTGGTATCTCTAACAGGATTATCAAAATACTTTCCTCATTGGATTGTGGATAAGATTAAATTCAGTAACAGGTGAACCTTCTTTGTCAATGGTAAAATGTACAAAATGTAAGACATTTTGTTGTTGTTATTAATCTCATGATAACCTCAGCTGTTACTAGAAGGGCTGCAAGTGAGAATGGGAATTTGGTACAATTTCTCTGTAGCGAATACTTAGCAGGAGGCGATATTTTGAAAGGCGGAGCACTGCTACATTCCCACCCTGTAGGGACACAGCGGTCTCCACTGAGCCCTAAGATGGGACACTTTGCTAGAACCTTGGCTTTCCTTCCTGTCTAGACTCGTCCTTGTTTCCCAACCCTGCTAAAAAGGGAGGTGAGAAATTAAAGGTGGCCCTGAAATGCTCCAATTCCTCAGGTTGGCTGAACCCAAAACATGACTTTGTCTCTAAGAGCTAGAAAAGACAACATAATCGATGCCTCCAGAATGAATGTTTCCTTGCTGTACACTGCCCATTGAAAAACATTTTTAAATAAGAAAGAGAATTAGTGTTTCCTGCTAATAGTTTTGTTCAAAGATAAAGAAAATCTCAATGTGGCTCAAGAATAGACAGCTGCCCAACAGAACAGAAATTCCTATAAAGAGCCCTGATTTATGACAGAGGCAATACCGTGCCACAGGGGAGAAAAGACACATTGTCAGTAAATGGTGTTTGGATAATTTTATGTCCACATTTTAAAAAAAGCATCTTGACTTTCACCTCATGTCATACATAAAATCAATTCTCAGTGAATTCAAATTTAAATATGAGAGATAAAATAATAATACTTTTGGCATTTAAAATAAACAGGAAAACCTCTTCAAACATTGGAGTAGGCAAAGATTTTTTAAATGGAACACAAAAAGGAATAACTATAAGGAGAAAAAATGTTATATTGAGTTTTATTAAAATCAAGAATTTAGAGATGTTCATCATAAACCACTTCTAAGAGAACATAAAGATAGTACACAAAGTGGGAAAATATATTTGCAATAAATTATCTGGCAAAAGACTCCTATTGAGAATATGTAAAGAACTCTAATCTATGGCTCTATCATCTACTCATACACATATATACATCATATAT